TAATTTTTTTTTTAAAAGTAGGTCAAACTCCAAGGTCATGGTTAAAAGGACAAAAGTGTTGGTATCCAAAGGAAGGTCTTGTCACAAGAAATATACCTTTGAAATTTGAAAGCCATAGTACTAACTTTTCAAAAGTTATGGATAATATTCATAAAAGTGGGTAAAACTTTAAGGTCAAGGTCAAAAATTCAAAAATATTTACACCCATTGAAAGGTCTTGTCACATATGAAATACACATATGAAATATGAAAGCCCAACACCATCTGTTCAAAAGTTATGCCAAAAGTTAAAGTTGGATGATTTTTTGCAAAAGTTGATCAAACTGCAATGTCAAGGTCAAGAGGTCAAATATGTTGGCACTCAAAGGAAGGTCTTGTCACAAGGAATACACATCTTAACTATGAAAGTCATAGGGCCAACTTCATTTGTTACAGATCGGCGTACGCCGAATTGCGCCGGTCATATGATCGGCGTAAAACGGCTAACTGGCAAATGAAGTAAACCGGCGAAAACAAAAAATAATTATACTATATAACAATCAATTAACTAAGATCTATCACTTTTTACGTTATGTCTTAGCGAAAAAAAGGTTGGATAATTAGAAATTCAATGTTTAAAAAAGTCATGGACCTCATGAAAAAAAAATTATTTTTAGAAATTAAGAACGGATTTTAAATAAATGAATGGAGATTTGTTCAAGAAATGCACACAATTAAAGAATATGCCGAATTGGTAAAAAGTATCCTCATTTTATAAGTTGTTTTATCTTCCCGCCATATTTCTAAGACCGGCGAATTGCTCGCCGGCCATTTCAGACCGGCGAGATCGGCGTACGCCGGCGAACCTTCCCCGGTCAAATGAAGCAACAAGCCGGGTTACCAAAGGTCAAGGTCAAATGAAGTCCCACCATCGCTCTAGCCAATCAAAAGCTGGCTCAACTTGGATATATGGATAAGTAGTACAGGTAAATATTTTCATACGCAAAACGGCTGAAGAATTAATGGCAATGCTAAATAATATGAGGAAATCTGGAGAAATTCCATGTAGCTTTAGAACTGTTTTTGGTAAAATTGTGGACATGTAGACAGGTGGGCAGGTCGACATGATGACAGGTCGATTGGTTGACAGAATGTTTAGTTGACAGGTCGACGGGTTGACAGGTAGACAAGACGACAGGTCGACGGGTTGACAGGTCGACAGGTTGACAGATTTTATGTGTGACAGGTCTACATGTATTCAGGAAGACAGGTCGACGGGTTGACAGGTCGACAAGTTGACAGATTGTTTGCTTGACAGGTTTACATGTACTCAGGAATAAAGGTCAAAGGGTTGACAGGTCGACAGGTAGACATGTCGACGGGTTGACAGGTCGACAGATTATAATCTCCAGTGATCTCTCGGGTGGGTTTGAGGACTAACCCTAAACTTTCCTGTGGATTCGAGGACTAACCCTATTTCTCTCGTGGGTTCGAGGACCAACCCTAGACTCTCGGGAGGGTTTGAGAATTAACCCTAATTTCTCAGGTGTGTTCGAGGACTAACCATAATCTCCGATGGGATCTATTAATCGAGTGGTTTTACAAGACTAACCCTAATGTCTTGTGTTTGTTCGCGTAAAACAAAGCTTCTCAATTCGAGAGGTAAAAGGAATACCGAAAGGTTGTAAACTTTCGACCTGTCTACTTTTGTTTTGAGCTATAAAGGAAACTGAACGGGTATAAAATGCTGACTTGTCGATCTTTGTTTTAAGTGAAAATAATAGCCTAATTGGATGTCAACTGTCGACTTTTATTGTGATGGATAAGATTTAGCAATTTGATGTCGACCTGTCGACCTTTATAAGAGAGATAAGAGTTTTCCAATTAGGTGTCAAGTCGACCTGTCGACCTTTGTGATGACAATACAGGTTAAGTGTGAAATTGTCAACCATTTAGGGAAAAACTCTTCTTGTGGACTTTCTTTTCTTGTGGACTGTTTGAAGTCATAAGGCAAACACTCACTTTTGTATTATAAAAGGAACTATTTTTTTTTACTTGTTCTAAATTTGAAAGAGTTTTACAGATCTACTTTTCGGTGTACCCTAGTTGAACAATGTTATGAGCAAGGATAAAGTTTAAAAGGACAAACAGAAAGACGGGAAAAATAATATTCCACCGAATCTTCGATTACGGGGGCATTAAAAAAATTAGATCGTAAAAATTAATTCGAATGACCCCCCCCCCCCCCAAAAAAAAGAAGCAATTAGAAACGACAGATAATTAGAAGGAAAAAAAAAAATACTTTTTAAATATTATAACAATATCTGGCGTCTTTCCAAGGATCGTGTTCTATGCTTCTCTTCACAGAATTGTATTATTCATAGATTTTTTGAGATCGATAATTATATGTTATCTTCAATTTTTCACTTCTTTCGTTAATTAAGAAAGGATAAATAAGGAAGTGTGGAAGTCAAGATTAACCCACAGATAAATCCTTAATATAATCTTAAACAACATCTTAATTATTTTATGTCCGTCCGCTTTTGTTTCAATAAGCTTTGCATATTAAATAAGCAAAGAATTAAAATTTATATCGTTATAACGAATAAGATCGTCAAAACTAACTGACTCGAAAGCCCCTCCCCCCCCCCCCCAAAAAAAAGCAATTAGAAATGACAAATAATAAGAAGGAAAAAATCCGTTTTAAATATTTAACAAAATCTGGCGTCTTTCAAGGGCTCGGTTTCTATGCCCCTCTTCACAGAATTGTATTATTTATACATTTTTTTTTTTAGATCGATCATTATATGTTATCTTCAATTTTTCACTTCTTTCGTTAATTAAGAAAGGATAAATAAGGAAGTGCGGAAGTCAAGATTAATCCACAGATAAATCCTTAATATAATCTTAAACAACATCTTAATTATTTTATGTCCGTCCGCTTTTGTTTCAATAAGAGTTGCATATTAAATAAGCAAAATAGGCGCGGATCCAGGAATTTTTTCAGGGGGGGGGGGCAACCCAGTCAAAAAATTTCCAAACCAAACTGTTCTTGACAACCAAAAAAAAAAAAAAAATAAAAAAAAGAACAAACAAACAAACAAACAAAACAACGTAAATTCCATTTCCCAAACGTGAAAAACACCTATTTCGTGGTGGCGATGGTTGAGTCAAAGTCATCTTTTTATTTTTTTTCAGTATATACTTTTAATAATTCTCCAAATTCAAAGGGAGGGGGTGCGGAGCCCCCGAACCCCCCCCCCCCCACCTCTAGATCCGCGTATGGCAAAGAATAAAAATTTATCATCGTAATAACAGGTGTTAATAATTACCCATAATTTGATCTTAACATTAGGCATTTTTGTGTTGCGATAGATTGCACTATCTTTATTCTTTGTCTTAAGAAAAAACGGTTAAGATACAATCATATCCAATCAAAAACTTAGGAGATTCTTTTTATCATATGTTTCTGCCTATTAGGTTTTTTTTTAAGTTGCTTAGCAACGTCAACTATAGATACGCCGTTCTTCCATGTTAAAAAAAAACTACAAACAATACAAATCAGGCAATGGGGCATAAAACACTGTTCCCCGGGAAATCCTAGAGCAGGGAGCATACGTCTAATAGGAGAAAACATCCCCGGTCGACCTGAGGTAGACAGAATATTCCGTAGTCAAATTTGGTACAAAAACAAAAGCAAAACAATTTGTATGAAATTTTACAGTCAGGATACGACCCAAGAATAGGTTGTATTTGCAGATATGGTCATTAATGACCATAGCATTTACAAAATGCTGACTTTAAAGGGGTTGTTGAAATCCCTGTAAAATCATTTAATTTGAGTGTATAATAAGTAGGGAGACATAAACACCATATGCAGGTTGTAGTGGAATATTATTACATAAATAAGGAATCTAGATTAATTTTAAAAAAAAATACAACAAAACATACCAAGTTAATATATTATAAAATGGCAACTTGCTACTTTTTTTTTCGGGGAGAAAAGGTTTCTATAAGTAAATAGAACAAGGTTAAGCACTTAGAATTTAATTTTTATGCAGGATTTATGAGTAGTGTCCTATAGAGTGATACAAACATTGTATAAATTTTCTAGGAAAATAGCAAAAAGTAAGAATTCTGAATATCATGAAATTTTACAATTACTTAATATTTTATAAATTTGATATTTCCATCTTTTTCAAAATACATACATAAATAAATATATATATAAAAATAAAAGAAAATTACATGAAATCAAAGATAAATTAATTAAAAAATATATACCAGTCCACGCATCCTATTTTTTTTTCATTTGTGGCAAGTGTCCATAAGATCTAATAGGAGTATAAAATAGCCACTTATGACAAAATATATTTTGTTTATTTGAATATGCCTTAAAGAAACTGAAAAATTAATCCAACTGGGATAATTTTTCTTAAGAACATTACGACATGACCTGAGCACTAATGACTAGCATGTGCACGTAATGGGAAACAATGACAATTACAATGACAATGCAGATCTAGATAAGAAAGTACAGCCTTTGCTAAATCCCATTAAAGCTGTTTAAAGATAATGTCAGCAAAAGATAAAATTGAATTTCTGGGGGAAACTATAGGAGTAATAGGAAGATTGCTTTCTTCATCTAAAAGACATATAATTGAAGGCACCTCTCCAATATTGTAGGAACATATTTTAGTATTTCAGTGTTTATAGAAAATTTCAAAACAATCTCCTAAGAAATACCCCCCTCCCCCCCCCTCCCCCCAAAAAAAGATGCAAAAGACAAATCTTTTTAAAGAATCTATAAACATTGTATATTTAAACTAGAAGGAACGGTTGACATTCAGACGTGTAAGTAGCCGGCAAAAGATCATCATTTCAACTTGACGCTTCATTGTACTTCCCGTATAAATTAGTTTTCCCGAACCTTATCCGCGCTTGCGCTGGTCTGCATCTTGTACTTAAAGAAACCTTTGAATAATTATATCATTATAAAAATCTAGTTTGGCTTATAAACGCTATAAATCATACGCAGAAGGTAATTTTCTACTTTCTACATTTACTATACTTTTAAGAATATATGGTAAAAGACATTTGTGGTTTGAATTCAAAAAGGGTGATTTTTAAATATGGTATTTTTTGAAAGGCTTATATCGTCTTTATAATGTACAAATCATACCATCATGCATGAAGGTTTATTAAATATGACAAGTATACAGCTTAGGAAAAATGATTGGAAAAAGTATACTTTTTAGTTATTTTGGATATAAATCTGTTAAAAAATAGTAATTAAAAAAGACAAGCCTTCCATGTAATGCTCATGGAAAGATATGGATGTTATATATACAATTAGATGTCCACAACATTTCCATGAATTTTATAAAACTGAACTGATTTCATAAATGTAATGCATACACTTGAAAGAAATATAAGACAAACATTACTCAGTAATATAATTAAATTTTATTCTTAGAAATGAATATCCTCATTCCTTTGGATTGAAAATATATATAGGCATAGAAATACTGATTAAAATTTACTGTTTTTGGTTTTCTTGTCAGAAAAAAAAAAAAAAAAAAAAAAAAAAAAAAAAAACAGAGGAAATAAATCAAATTTTCAATTCCCGGCAACCTTAAGGTTTCAATATAAAATTTAAAAATAAATTATTTTATTCATGGTTTTCTTAAACTACAGAAAGGGCTAACATAACTTTGCAATTTGAATGCACAGGCACTTGGGGTATGGACCCCCCCTTTCCATTTTTTTTCCTTTTTAAATCTGGGGTCGAGTCACCTTTTTCCTATTTTTGTATTCTAATATGCACTGTATGTTATCAATAATGTAACTCTTTTGTCTCTATATGCTGTTTTTAAATATATATAAGGGTAAATTTTGTTGATGTGCACCAGCTGGGACGGAAGTGCCCGGTATTTTCGGGTATCATCATTACATGTAATGTCATTCGGAACATTAAATGCGAGAAGGAATAAATCCCGAATTTTCTCTTCATATATCATGTAACGGTAAGTTCTGTGAATAACAAGATAACTTTAACTAGTAAATTTTAATGGATGAAGATTATACTTTAAATAGACGACCTAGACAACCAAATTCCACAATATTGTTATTACAAAGCCTGGAATTTTTTTTCAATGCAGAACATTTATAAAGTTAGAGTTACCGTTATTGCACTTCCGTCCCAGCTGGTGCACATCAACAAAATTTACCTAGATGCGGATGATTTAATCGAAATATTTACAAATCGAGGGCACATAAAAATTAAATTGAAATATGAAAAGAAAGAAGAATGTATAACGAATTTATTGATGTATGCATATTTCATGTTTTCTTATTCTTTCGATAAATAATCAGGCGAAGTTTAAGCGAGGTGAGGCAGACGATGAGAAAAGAGTTGCAAGCCTTCTTTCTTTTTATGTACCAGTCAAAAACGATATATTTAAAAACAGCTTATAGAGACAAAAGAGTTATATTATTGATAACATACAGTGCATATTAGAATACAAAAATAGGAAAAAGGTGACTCGACCCCAGATTTAAAAAGGAAAAAAAAATGGGGAGGGGGGGGGGTCCATACCCCAAGTGCCTGTGTTTGAATGTAGGCAAGCGTGCTTGCTTATTGAACAACAACATGGTGGTATGCCTCTTATGTTTGACTCAAAGTCATTAAATATATTGTTAATTCTGCGCTGGACTATCACGTACATGTATTTTAACTCTCGTCATTTAATTCATCATATATTTCTTTTATTGCATAATCAATTTTGTCCTATACCTCTTTATCTTTCTTCTGTCCTCAACACCTTCATTTTTCTGTGTTTAACGGATTAAAAAAGTTATTTTCAATAGTACTCTGAACATAAAAAGTAAAAAGATATCACCTATTTAACATACTTATAACATTTCTTTGAAGAAAAACTTGTAGAAAACCTAATTTCTTTTAGTAAAAAGAAATAAAAGGATAAAAGAATCGAGACAAGATAGATGACAACTAACGTCGTCGTTGTTCAACAGCCTATGGCTGTAAATAATAATTCACTGATGGTCACGGGGATAAATGGCCACAGGGAGTGGACCACAGGGCTCTGTGAGTGTGATGACAAGAGGAAATGTAAGTATTTCACGTTTTGGTCATATCAGCGAAGATGTCAAGTTATTATTATCCTTGGTGTCATGTGTTCTACATTGGCACATTTTTCAGTTTATCTTTTCATGTGAATGTTTTTTTAAGTACGTGCTTGATCTAATCTTGAAATCGATCATAAAAGTTGTTTAGTGAAATATAATCATACTAGAAATTAAGAACTGCAGTACTCTGTGAGCAAATGTATTAATACAAGGCGCGAGTATGTGTTATTAAAAATTTTAAGAGATGAATTTAATTTTTGAGAATTCATGAGGACATGATCTACGACGCTTCACGCCTGCATAGTTCACGAAGCGCGCGTTAGCGCTTCATGATAAATATGCAGGCGTGAAGATTTGTAGTTCATGTACCTCATGAATTCCCAAAAATTCCTATCGTATATTTACATTATTTTTCTGATGACATGCCTCATATTTTTGTCATTCAACGATCATTTGTGAAAAAAAAGCTTGCACTATTTTCTGACTTCAATCAAATCACAATGGAAATATTCTTACTCATCCCACGATAGTTCATGAGAACATGAACTTTTTCTAATTTGAAAGGAATCTTAAGGAAAAATATTTGGAAATGTAAATAAATATATTTATTAACGTAAATTATGATAATGTCTTTAATAAAAAGGTTTCTCTCAAAAGTGAGACATAGCCAAACAAGAAAATGTTAAGTAAAATTTTTCAGTTACTGGTATCTACAAAGATCATCCCACTTCTTGATTGTTAAATATACAAACATGTAAATTTTATGTTAGTTCAATTACTAGCCCTAACAACTGCATAGCTGGTTAAAACTATGTTTGTAAATAACCATATAACATGTAGTATTCGCCGCCAACACAGCTTTGGAATCCGTCGTTACGAAGTTATAATAATAAGATATTACATATGTAAAAGTACTGTTTTGTAATAAAAATTTCTTTGATAGAGAAAAAGATATGCTCACAAAGGGTTTTTATACAATCTATCTACAGAAAATGTTAAATTTTCTAATCGTACCCCCTCCCCCCCCCCCTTCCCCGTAAAAAGTGTATCCTAGTGTGCAAGCATTTTAAATGAAACAAATCAGTGTTACTGACTATACATCAGAAATATTATCCTGCTATCCTTTCGACTTTCTTTTGAAAGTAAAATATGATATATATACAATGTATATTTACCGTATATACTCGCCTATAAGTCGGTCCGCCTATAAGTCGGTTGTATTTTATTAAGCTTAAAATAAAATTAAAAGGATTTACCAGCTGAAATACCAGTCTTTTTATAACCATCGTATAAGTCGGATAAAGAGTTTTGGAACAAAGTTTAACTTCCAAAAACCGACTTATAGAAGAGTATATACGGTATACATGTATGTATAATATGATAAAAAAAAAACAATCATATTATTACTTAAATCAGAGTGGACTTACCAAAGAAACTAATTTCGAAAATTTTAATTAAGCAGAGTCTTGAGACAATTTGGTTTTGGATATCTGAATGAAGAAGTGATTCCTATTTCGTACAATGCGCTTTTAATTTCATTTGCAATAAAAAAATATTAGTATTCTGAAACAGGCCTAGTTGGATGTTGCTGTGTACTTTGTTCACTATGCAGTCTGGCGAGAAGAACTGGGGAGTGTCCCTTGATGGCATACTATGTTTTGGGAGGACTAACCTTGCTACGAAGTAGGATTAGAACCATTGGAGGAATTAAGGTTAAGTTTAAAAAAATTCATAGAAAAGTCGACTTATCACTTGATTTGTTTTGATAAATTGTAGAACTATAATTTAGAACAACTACTCAAATAAATGATTAATTTTTCTTTGTTAATAGGGGACTGTCTCAAACGACAATATGATAATGAAGTGGTGCTGTCCGTGTGGAGTACTACAAATGGAGAGGGAACTCGAAAATATGGGAATCCCATAAAAAGATTCCTATTCCTTTTTCTTTGATGTCAACATACTTTGCAATATAGTAAAGCAGTATGAAGACCGAATGTGTTCAAAAAAAAAAACTTGTATTATCTTTTTGCTTATTCTCTGTAAATTAGATCAATTACTTTTCTGTGTTTTTAAATTCTGTACATTGTATTTATTAGTAAATAAAAAAAAGACTTCGATTATTTTCAACTTCTGTACATTGTATCCATTAGTAAATCAAAGATATGTGAACATGATAAATAACAAGAGGGCCATTAGGCATAACGCACACCTGATTCAATTTAGTGCTTCTGTTCTCAAAAAATTTTAAAAGACTTTCCTTAATTATTTTCCTGAAAACGTTTGAACAACTTCTGAGGCTGCATTAACAAAAAATTCTACAGTTAACTAAATTAAGTAAAGTAAATACTTTGATTTATTACGAAACTTTACATTATAATTTTTTTTGGAGATTTTGCAGCTTAATGTCTCTAAAATTCAGTATCGATGATATAATATTTTGAAATAATATATGAATATATTTTCTTATAATAAAAAACAAGATGTGTTTGTGAAACACTGATGCCCCTGTATGGCAGCTTATGGCAAAGGTTAAAGCTTCTCAAATGCAATTCAAACTCCAGGTTTTAGAAATCAAAAAATGTTGGTACCCAAGGAAAGGTCTTGTCTCGAGGAATATACCTGTAAAATATGAAAGTCCTAGCAACAATCGTTGAAAAGTTATGGCGAAGGTTAAAGTTTTTAAAAAGTAAGTAAAACGTCAAGGTCAAGGTCAAATGGTGCCAAAGGGAAGGTCTTGTCACAAGAAATACACGTGGATGTGAAAACCCTATTACCAAACGTTCAAATGTTACAAATGTTATGGCCCAGGTTAAAAGTTTTAAAAGTAGGTCAAAATTTAAGGTCAATGCCAAAATTGCTGGTATCCAGAAGAAGGTCTTGCCACAAGGAAAATACATGTGAAGTGTGAAAGCCCTAGCACCAACTGTTTAATAGTTATGGTCAAGGATAAAGTTTTTCAAAAGTGGGTCAAACTCCAAGGTCAAGGTCAAAGTGTCAACGTTGTTGGTATCTCAAGGAAGGCCTTGTCAAAAGGAATGCATATGTGAAGTATTTAAGTCCTAGCAGTAACTGTTTAAAAGTTATGGCCAAGGTTAAAGTTTTTTTTTCAAAAATAAGTCAAACTCAAGAGGCAAGGTCAAAGGGTCAAAGATGTTGGTATCCAAGGAAGGTCTTGTCATAAGGAATACACATGTGAAGTATGAAAGCCCTAGCACTAACTGTTCAAAAGTTATGGCAAAGGTTAAAGTTTTTCAAAAAAAAGTAAGTCAAACTTCAAGGTCAAAAGGTAAAAGTTTTTGGTATCCAAAGGAAGGCTTTGTCACAAGAAATACACATGTATGTGAAGTATGAACGCCCTAGCACAAATTGTCCAAAAGTAATAGCCAAAATTAAAGTTTTTTTTAAAAGTAGGTCACACTCCAGGGTCATGTTCAAAGGGTTTACGTTGTTGGTATAGAAAGGAAGGTCTTGTCACAAGGAAATCACATGTGAAGATTAAAAGTCTAAGAAATAACTGTTCAGAAGATATGGCCAAGGATAAAGTCTCATAAAATTTTACAAAAGTGGGTCAAAAAGTTAAATATGATGGTGACCCCAAAAGGTGTTGTCACAAGGAATACACATGTAAAATATGTAAGCCATAGCTCCAACCAATCAAAAGATTTGGGCAAGGATGGAGTTTTTGCGGACAAACAGACAAACAGGGCAAAAACTATATGCCGCCGAATCTTCGATTACAGGGGCATAAAAACTGCATGGGTAAATTGGAGGACATGAAACATAACAATTTAAAATTTAAAGTAAAGAATTATCGATTTTCAATAGTAAAAACTTTGATTTAATATAGATAAGACATTCATTCTTTAGTATACTATAGTAAACTATAATAAATTATAGTAATTATTAGTAAACTGTATTTAACTTCGGAGCTGGTCTGAGCTTTGAAAATGGGAAATGGTTTGAAAAAACGCGAATCTTAACTATGCTGGGATGGTTGTAGACCATAAAACAAGATATTTTTGAAACTTTTCCCAAGATTGGGCATTTTCAGCGATTTAAGGTATCTCACTCATCAGCTTTAAAAAAAAATCAGAACCTCTTATATCAATATTTTCAAATTTAATTTCTAAAAATAACTTTGACTTAATCAAAGCAAATTATTTAATATTCAATCTAAAAAGCTCTCTCAAAATAACCTAGAAATAAAATTTAAAAAAGACTATTTCTTGCTGTGAAAGAATATTTTCTTAAGTTTTCAAATGTATTATTCAATATCTTTGACCCTATTTATTTTCACTCATAGAATATTTTCATCAAAATATGAAGGAATATTTAAAGTAGATTCTAAATTAATAATTTTTGAACATATTTTGTACATTTATTAAATATAATACGCCAAAAATTGAAGATATATTTAAACCTACATGCATATCATTTTTTGCCTGAAAATTGCAAATTTTGACCAATATCTCAATAACTACATAATGGTCTCTATCTTTTTATATAATTATTATTTCTCTTTTTGAAATTGCACGATACATTCAAACATCCAGCACTCAGTTTATTAAAACGTTGATAAAAATATATATATTGCCCATATAGAACTTATCCCCAATATGATATGTTTTTAGTGCAGAAAGGTCACATAATAATAAACGCGCATTATTGTGCAGCATTTCCTTTAAACGAATGAATATTATTCAAACTATTTTCCACAAAATAAGATTAAATCTGATAAGACCTCCTTAGATCATATCTGGTAAAAAATAATGTAGGTTAAAGTGCTTAATCTACAAGTTTAATTTTTTTTTTTTTTGTAGTTTTGTTTAAGTTTAAATTTTAGTGCAGAAAAGTCAATTACATTGTACCTTGCTCAGCAAGATGCACACTCCCACCTTTTCTTTGCCATTTTTGAGTTATGCTATGTAAGTGGATATATAAAATATGATTTTCCTTGATATAAATGTCAGGAATGACATACCTTAAGTCTTTACACAGCCAAATTTATTTTTATCGTTGTTAAGACCATTGTTTATAATACCAATATAAGAAATATGGCTAAATATCAATAGCATCATTTATAGTCCTCAGATGTTGGATGTAAAAAACCTTGCTTGAATATCTTAACTGAGCACACAATTATGACCTTTAACATCTAATAGGATCATGCAGGTCTTGGTAAAAGAAGTTAAGCTTTGTTAAATCTAAGTCAAGTCTGATATATATCGTCTGAAAAAAGTGTCAACAAAAATTACAATTGAATATCCTATGTTAATCTTCATCTTAAAGAAACTTCCTATATAGAGCCCCCACCCATCTTTTGTAAAGGACAAGATAGGCTAAGACCCCCTTTTGGCCTCTGGTTTTGGGTGTCTTTTAGAATGATGCAACAGTTTATCAATAAAAACCTGTTGTCACCCCTGCTACAAAATGAGAACTGGGATAAACAGAGGTCACAGGAAGGTCGGAAAATATGTCAATTTCCAAATTTTCTCATTTTTATTCAAATTTTCATCAATTTTACAGCACATTTTGTTTCAGAAAACAGAGCACAAGCTTGCCTATCTACCAAATTTATATATTTCATACACTAGTATCAGATGCTTCTTATGTATAAAAATCTCAGATAGGCAAGCTTGTGCTCTATGTTTCCCGAAATGAAAAGTATCTCAAATTTGACGAAATTCCACCAGAATCGAGGAAATTCAGGAAAATGTCCTACTTTGGGACCCTCTTGATTACTTTAGTGACATTTAAGGAAAGAATTTAATAGCTATACTCAAGTGATACACTAAAATTTTCTCTTCAATGGTGTCTTCAAATTCCACAAATTTGAATGTAAATTCAAGCGGATTGATACGTTATCGACGTAAATGATTGTGAAGTAAGCAACACAGGTTATACGGTATGACGCATGTAATTTTTTTTTTCAATTCTTGAAAGTATTAGGTTTCCGAAAATTACAGGTTTCAGAACCCCCCAAAAAATCTACTTTTACGAAGAATTTTTTTTTTTGGTCTGCCCGAAGACAGTCAAGTGAGCTCTTCTGATCAAAATTTGTATGTTGTCTGTCCTTATCGTTGTAAACTTTTTCACATTTTCATCTTCTGCTCAAGAATCACTTGACCAATTTCAACTAAATTTGCCACAGAGTATCCTTGGGTAAAGGGGATTTAAGTCTGTTCAAATAAAGTGCAACTCCTTCTTCCAAGGGGAAAAAATTACGAATTCGTGAATAATTAATGGTATCTTTTAAAAATCTTTTTCTAAAGAACCACTGTGCTAGAAAAAATGAAACTTATATGGAAGCATTCCATACTTTACCAAGTAAAACTTTTGACTACAATCTAAACTCGGGGTCAAGATTTATACCGACTTGAATCTTCAAAACGTGAGGATGCTTGGATATCAGTATGACTAATTCTAGCCCTTGTGAATCTCTTCTTAAAAACATTTTTGTAGTCTTGCTAAAGAAATAAGGTGTCATTTTTTACTTTTATCGGAATGTAAATGTAATTTATCTATCTCCTAATTAGCCCACTTATGAACCTGAATTACCCCTTATTAATGCATTCTATAAATTTTGATTGAAAATGGCTGAGTAGTTTTGGAGAAAAATTCAATTACAAAGTATACCAAAAATTAATATATGTCAGGAAGTTAGACAGATTCGATATAACAATTTGTCGAATTCGGCTTAATGAATTTAATTCGAAATTACAAATTAAAGAGTTCGATAAACGAATTTAATTCGTTTTAACAAGTTTTAGAATTCCTTATAACGAATTTAATTCATTTTAACAAGTTTTAGAATTCGTTATAATGAATTCAACAAATTTGTTATAACAGATGAAATTCATTATAACGATTTTAAAGAAATATAAAATATTTTCCTACGAAGAGCTACACTTCTGCAGCTAGGACAAAATATCCAATGACACAATGAATTTTTCTTTTTAAGTAAACCAAGTTTTTTCTAAGCTTTGTCTACAATATTATTAATGTGATCAGACTACTCCAAATATGAAGACTATAGTATCCACGATGTAAGTGTTGTGTAACATGATTCTTATTGACAATTCTCAAAATTTAAATTTGGAAATTGTTGCAAAGCTTTTCAATGAAGAAAATACAGCTTTGGTTTTCTTTGAATTAAATATCAACAACCATTTCTTTGGCCATTCGTGTTATATTCTAAGATCATGATTACGATTTTGCTCAATAATATGTAGAATAAGTGATGACGCTTTAAAAATAAAAATAATACTTGAGTATACAAGTGAACGGGCGTTTTTTTAGGCGGAAATATTTTGATCGATTCCCCGGCTAGAACAAAACATACAGATAATCAGATACTGGCAATAACGGGAGACTATCAATACAAACCGTAGAAAAAAAGACTGCCTTTTTAGTTCAATACAAGTGAGAGTACCTTCCATAACCTACGAAAACAAATCTTCAAAAGGTCCCACGTTTGTACGAGATTGGTTCTTCAACTGTTTATGGGGAACTCGAGTGTGTGCATCATTGAAATTCTCGGAATTTAAATGGGGTTTATCCATCTTTTTAAAGGAAATATGAAACGTGACGTTGCTTTGGACATTTGAAGTTATCATCCGTGCGCCGTAAGGCGACACCACACAAATCTTCAAATCCCATATTTTGTTTATTTGAGAGAATATCAATTTGAAATTTGCTAGTATGTAAATTGTTGAAAAAATGTACAAAGGAATAGGGAAAATTTTAGAAAGCAGTGTTGATTATTTTTCACTGCAGATAATTTGTCCACGATTTTACCGGACTACCCTCGTGTTCTATGTCGGGAAGGATCTTTTATGAATGAACTGTCTTCCTAACAAAAAATCAATTCTTTTCCCGTAAAACTTTCATTTCCTCTGATCCTCTGATTATATCTTTTTTTTTTCACAAAAAGTGATGAACTTCTATTTATTTTCCGAATTTAAATGTAAATGTCTAATTTTTCTTTCCTTGTGTAAAGGTGTACACACTACTAAGTGATGACGTGCCTTTCTTATGATAATATCTTGGTTAAAAAAAATAGCATATGTTTTCATCAACAAGGAAAAAGAAGAAAAAAATACCTAACATACCAATGGTTTTGTGGATACTCTGTACAAAATGTCGACTACGGTAGTTGTTCGACAACCATCAGCTATAATTCCAGAGAAAATCGTGTAAGCGTTTAACTCTTGTCGACCAAGCACAACAAGGTTTCCTAATCAAATTTAAAATCAATACTTGATGGTACAATGTAACAGATGTTCAATTTTGCTATTATAATTTGGTCTCATTCTCGTTATTATCAACTAAACGATGTATATTTTTGTCCCCCGCTTTCACTGAAAATGGGGGATATTAATTTGGGTCTGTCTGTCCGTCGGTCCGTCCGTCTGTCCGTTTGCTCTAGAATCGCGGTGTAAGGAGTTGATCCTTACGTCTCGGGTTCGAATCCAACTGCAGGACGTGTAGACCGGTCCTTCGGATAAAACCGTTTAAATCGAGTTCCCGTGTCACAGTAGGTGCTGGCACGAAACCATCTCTTAATGTTCAATGATTCTGAATGCCGAGTATAGGTTAAATGCAGCCTCTACCGGGAGGTAGTGGCGTCTCAAAATAAGTGAAAAATTCTCGAGAGGGACGTTAAACAAACAAACAAATCCTGATAGTGCTATTCACATATAGCTAGGGAAAAGTTTGCAGACAACAGGTTATACCTAATAGGTTAAGCGAATATCATGCATCCAGAGGAAGGAAAGGGTGGGGTTAATCTCCCCCGAGATTTTTAGTTTCTGCTTGGGACCGTAAGGTAGCTAATTTCCATCTCCCGAGGGAGATCTCAAATCTTCGTCATATTGCCGATATGTTATACCTGGCAGCGTTTAGTAAGTACAAATATACATATATTTTAACAACATCCTGCTATCCAGGGGTGGAGCTAATAGCAGAGACAGAGGATCAATCAGGTATTGGATAAACCATATTTCACACTGTACGAATAACGCACACATTTGAAAGACCATATTCTTGCGAATTGTCATAAAAGCTACAAAAACTATCGATTTTCTGCTAGGAAATAAACACTTGAAACGAGTTAAATATCTCCTATAAAAATGTTTCTGATATTCTGAAGTGCTCGAGATGAAAACATATTTCTTAAACTTGAAAATATAATGAGCATTTTACTTTCAGTCTCTTTTTATCGGGCAGTAGGTAGACATATGTACTGAGACTCATAAGCATGAACGTTGAAGGATTTTCAGCTGATAAACTAAAATATGGCAGGAAAATGAGGCCAATGAGACACATAATATCACGATATGATAAGCAGATCCATATCTCCACTCTGTTCTACTGCCATCATGTTGTTTGTGGTGATTTTTCTACTAAGCGTCACCAGTGCTCAAGGTTCGATCACTTTTTAAAATTAGTTTTTTTCTTTGGAGACGTGAAAAGACTATGTATTTTTTCTAACCAATATATTGTGATTAAAGGATGCGCTGGTATGCTTGTTCTTCTTAAAAATTTGTTGTTCCTTGGTGGTAACGAATATTTATCTTAGAAATAATTCATTATTCATTGTCCCCCCAATTTCATTATAGTTACATAATTTGCATATTGATTTCCTTTTTCTTTCTTTTTGTGTGTTTCCAATAAATTGTTAGTTTGCTCAAGAGAGATTCCTTGCTTACATTTTAAAGGAAAAAGTTATGTTAAGTCCATAAACAAATTCTTCAAAGTTGGATGGTTGGACGATTTCACGATAAGGAAAACTTGCTTTCCATTGTGCAAAAGGACTTTGTAAATAGATTACATTTAAGAATTTCAAGTATTTTTGGGGGAGATAGCTGACATTTAGTTTTTGATCTAGGAGGAATTTATGAATTAAATTTATTTATTTATTTTTATCAAAGCAAGACAAAATTCTTGGAAATGTCTACTTTTGACAGAAAATAAATTTCCAAAATTTCCGTTTTTGAAAAGGTTGAAGATGTTTCATGTCACGGTACATAGATTCATCTTAAAGGTCTTAAAATCTACTCTATTACATTTGTTGATGTATTTTATTACTGATTTAAAATCTAACATATTTCTTTGATTCAGATCAAGATTGTGTATTTTCTATCGCAGTTTGATTTTGGGTGTAGAGAAAAGTATTTGTAAACTTTAATTATTAACTGGTAACCTATATAAAATAGGATCATTTAAATAACATCTGCATTTGAAAAATACAACAAACTTGATTCTTTGACAAATAAATAATGATCTACTTATATTTATCCATTGACAAATGTTTTCTTTAGGCGGTTGGTATGACAGATATGTTAAATTCTTCAACGAAACACTGCCAAACAACAGTACACTCATGGAGATGTGGAGGACACACTTAAAGTTGTGGGAGCAGAATGTGAGAAAGATTTTTCTTGTGAAAAATTTCTTTTTTACATTTCATCTATATTTGGTTATCGTTAAACGCAACTTTGAACTATAACTACATGTATAGCACATGAAAAATGGTTTGATTCAGGCTTAAGATAAGCTTAAGATAAAATATTTCTAATGGTCTTAAAAATCACATGTAACAAAAGATTTATTCATCCTTGATGGAGCTTTTCTTTTTCTTTATCAAACAATATTTTATTATGTAAATAATAATTGGACTGGGCATCAATCATTGTCTATGTATTTTCTGGGACACATTTAAACATACACAGATTTCCCTCTTAATTTCAGGGCAGTCGCAGCAAAAGGTACCCAATCCCAAGCTTTGAGTGTCATAATACACACCCACATAACGGTCATCATGCTACAAGTGGTTAGTTTGCGTCAAATATGGTGTATTTATGTGCCGAAATAATGACACATTCCATATGAAAAAAAAAAAATCCAATATCATCCACACGTTTAACTGATATCAAATCACTGAAATTAGTTTTTAAAATAAGACTTTATCACATTATACAATTTATAATATAAGCTTTATCCTTTATGAAAAATTTACGGTGAAAAATTCTAAAGAATGCAGGTATAAATTATTATATCTTTGATAAAAGTATGTGTTTTCATTGAATCATAGTTCATGATCTTCACCCTGGAGACATTCGTATCATTGCTGCAATGGGAGATTCACTTACGGTAAGAAATATACGTATATGTAGTAGTTTTTACTTAAGAAGTACAGTGTACTTACTAAAGAATAACATTTACTTTATCTTGCTAAATCATGCAATATCCTTTTCTTGTTGAATGTCTGACTTACTTGTTACATGTACCTATAAACATACTTTCATTATGCAATGCCCTGTATATATTACCGCTACACTGCTGATCTTCCAATGCTGCATTTAAGCAGTACCTGTATATAAAATCTTTCCTTCTTTAATAGTAATGCGCTTGAATTTTGGTATCAGTGACTTGTCTAATTAATGTACCATTATATGAAACTTATTTTCTGTATCTTGAAAACTCGGATATCACAAGTTTTTCTATAGCTTAAATTATCCTTATTGGAAACAGAGATTTGACTTTCTGTAATGTTAGTTACGGATTATTTTTTTTATTATTTTCCAGGCTGGTAATGGAATTCTTGCCTCAAATATTATTGGAGATTTCATAGAATACAGAGGCCAAGTATGGAGGTATATAAAAATTAAAAGTAATTTATTATAGTAAACATATAAAAACTATTAAAAATTATAGTAATTTATCGGTTTATAATCCATTGATGGTAAATGAGCAATTATGACATAAATAAAAGTTGAAGCTTACGTTGTAAGTACGTTTTGCCAGTACCACATTTTTGCATTCAACATGATGTTTTTCCCTCGAAGCATTGGTGGCGATGGAGATCTGAGCAACACCATAACACTACCAAGTAAGTCAGACAACGGACAGATATAGAAAGAGCAGAAAATTAAATCAGATTTGTAAATCTCAAAGAAGAGAACTTTCCTGTAGAATTTCCTTGAAGTTACTTACCTTATTGTACAAATACAGACATTCTGGAGAAATTTGGTCAGTTCCTTTGGGGTCAGTCTTACGGAACAGGAGGTGTCGGATCTACAAACTCAATGCTTAACTATGCCGATCCTGGTGACGTGTCCTCGTAAGTCACACATTTTTTATTTTGTCACTAAATAAGTATTTTCGTTATTAGCAGACATATGAAGCAGAATATATTAAAAAAAAGTGTACATTAGAAGGAGAAAACACTTGCTGTGGCCTTCAACTTGACAATTAGATTTATCGACATGCATTATCAATTAACACTATTTATTTCCATCCATATTTCGACTAGATATATCCCAGTGAACTTGAAATAAAAGATAACACAGAGTCTGCAACATCTGTTTCATATTTGGATATTTTACTAGAAAAAAACGTTTACGATAACCTAACACCGGAACATTATGATAAACGTGATGACATCAACTTTTCTATGGTCAACTTCCCTTGCTTAAGTAGCAATATACCCTTGTCACCTGCATATGGTGTTTATGTCTCCCAGTTGATTCGATACACAAGAAAATGCTCTACTCACGAACAATTTCTAAAACGAGGCAAGTTATTGACAAACAAATTGATGAAACAAAAATTCAGCAAATACAATCGATCATTAAGTTGAATGCTTACTGACGTTTTTCATACTAATTGTTGGACTAATATTTATACATTGAATTGTCTACGAATTTTCCGTTTTACCGATCATGACAAGGAGCACACGGCGGGTTTGACCTGTCGGCAGGGGATGATTACTCCTCCATGGAACATGATCCCACCTCTGATGATTTTAGAGGTCCGTGTTTGTTCTGATTTTTATTTTTTCTACGGACTTTTGAGCTTGATTACTGATCATTATCTCAATATTTGGCTTTTTCTTTAGGATTCGGTCTATGTATCGTATACCTAGTCGCTAGCAAATTTAAAAGTAGTGCTGATTTTATTATGTTATAAATGAAACAGAGGGTTAAGATGCTCCGTTCCACCATAAATCATACAAATTCACTTGTGACGTTTAAGGTGTAAAGATAAATATATGAGTTGAAATTTCATCAGTGAAAGAGTGATGATGGTTTAGCAATAGAGAAGTCACGACTTATATAAAAGCCAATAGACTCTTTTTGTAGAAATATGCCGGGACAGGCTAATGCATTGGTGCAAAGACTGAGGACAGATACGCACGTGCGATTCAATGACGACTGGAAAGTAGTGACGTTGTTCATTGGTGGAAATGATCTGTGCGATTATTGTCACGACCAGGTACTTGTAAACAGCAGCTGTATAATTATTTTGGTCGGTGACATCATACACGATCTATTAGTACAGCAAGATCATACTCGGTGACTACAGGGGCGGTATTATTATGTAAAAACAGGTCATAATCAGTATATGATGAAATATTTTGAGAAACAGGGAACACAAAAATTATTTTTGCATTTCTGATGACGGAAATCTTATGTAGGTATATCTTATTTCGCTTATTTAGCTTACGTGTGACGTCATAGTTGGTTTTTCCTGTACTCGAGAAATGTAAATATGACAAGTTTTTGTCCTGCTTATGTCGTCTTTAGCGATGTCCTGTGCAATATTGAGGTCAGCTTCACCATTCGAAATTTTTACAGTTAATCAATAATTTGAAGGATTTGCATTTCAACGTAAATTTAAAAATATTGAATGATAGGATTTTTTGTAAATTACGTTTTTTGTTGTTTAAATTGTCTTAAAAAGTTCGTAATTTTCCCTATCCAGATGCAGTGTGATAGATGAAACTTGCTTTTTCGAATTTTAAACCCTATTCATACTCTGAAATATTTTAAAAGATACATGTTCACTTACATATTTTTTATAAATGCTTTAAAAATCCCATTATGGACAGAGCAATGAGCCCGGAAACATGGAGAAGTAAAACTCCACTTAGATACTGTAGGGCATAATATTTGTCAATCAATATCTCTAAAATAAGGTAAGAAACCTAATGATATAACTGCTTTAAGATATGTGGGACATACTTAATTAGAAATATACAAAATATGAAAAAAAATTGAATGACAAGTATTTTTTCAGCTAAAGGTCCTTCTTCCCCTTAAAATGTTTCGAATTAAAAATGAGTTATGTTACAGAATGGCTATTCAGCTGCTAACTACATTCGACACATTCGAGATGCTTTGGATATTTTACATCGAGAGGTTCCTAAAATGTTTGTTAACCTGGTAGAGATATTTGATATCGCTCCCATTGCAGCCATGGATGGAGGGTTTATTTGCAATCTTGTTCACAAGTAAGACAATTATGAGTGTTTAATCACAAGAAATAAGTGATTTTATATTATCAGAACAAAAAGAGGGTGCAGATTATAAAATACAATTAATTTGAAATTTTGATCAAATGCTATCAGATATTGCCATAATTGTTTAAAAACACAAAATGCATGGACTATTTAAAGTTGAAACACAATGTAGGCATTAATCCATTAAGTGAAAAAAACAAAAAAACAATGTATGAATCATTCACATGTACCTTTGGGAAAAATAGTCTGTCTTAAATTTTCTCTGTAAATCTTTAAAAGCATTCAATTACTTCTATTTCATGGTTTGTATTTTCTCTAGACATTCAACATGTGAATTATACTTGTTTGCCCGACGACTTAAATTTAGTATTGGTTATACAGTTAACATTACCTATTCTGAAGAGTTACAGGAAAAATGCATGAAAAAATATTAAATTAATCAACGAAACCTCACAAACAGTTTTAAAATTTGTGTTATCTTACATGTATGTCAAATGGTATTGAATAACACAATCCACCAAGGAAAAAAATAGTTGCATTAGTTTCTGTTTAAAATCGATAAATTTTTTTTTAAAAAAAGTATTAAAAATATACATAATTTAATGAGCGGCTAATGTTTAATTCAAGAGCATTAATAGTGATTCTTTCTGTTAACAGTGTTGTATGTGACTGTGGACATAACAAGGCTAACTCTCAGATGCTGAGAAACGCTGCTCTGGCTTATCAACAAGAACTCAGGAATCTCGTCAACTCCGGACGATATGACACACGAGATGACTTTACCGTCGTCCTTCAGCCCTTCTTCAAGAACACTGAACCACCTACCTTAGTAGGGATTGATAAGAATATATTGTATTCAGTGCTGTATTCATCATTTATAAATCTAAACCATGTTTTTTTGTTTGTTTGTTTGTTTTTTTTTTTGGGGTGGGGGGGTGGGGTGGGGTCTTAATGTTGTTCAATCGTGCATTTTCAAACTCAGTTACCAATTTCTTATTTGTTAAGTTATAGGTATTTTTCACATTAAGAGAGTAATTTTTCTCTTTAAAAGATAGCAACATTGTCACACGATAAATATGAAGCATTTATATACCGATTATAATGATTACATAATATTGTTTGTTGAAATTGAGGTTTAGTTGTGCTTTACACTTCAAAATCAATAAAGAATCTTTACTAGAGATCATCTTTGACTAGACCCTTACATTTATAAATCCTATAAAATTACTATTTTTACACCACTAGGGCACTGGTTCCATTGACTTGAGTTTCTTTTCTCCCGACTGCTTCCACTTCAGCCAAAAGGGTCAGTTTGCGGCCGGCCTTTCACTCTGGAATAACATGGTAAAAATTTCCTCAGTTTAATGTGTGCCAAACTAGAGCTATTGCCTGTATAAAAAGTCCCTTATGCTTATGATTTTTTTTTAGTTGGAAGCTCCCAATTATAAACAAGAGCAGTGGCATTTGTACGGGGACTTCCATTGCCCTGGAACGCATGTAAGTTACTTTTCCTGAATTTACTGAATGTGAACTAATTCTAATTGATGGCATGTTTTGGCATATATGGTGCAATCCTTCATGATTTTACATATGAAAAATCAATTAAATACTAGCTGATCTTAATATTAATTCATGATTGCGCTAAAGTCCCTAATCCACATGTAAAATTAAGCTTAATGTTGTTCAAAAGTATTCTCTCAACGTTTTACAATTAAAAATAACTTCAGTTGCGTGTATATACGTATATAATTTTTTATCATACCGATATACTTTTAGATAGTACTTTGTTATTTTAATGCTAATGTAACACTTCAAGTTTTATCTCTTTTTTTTTGGCAGGCTGGCCACGACCACTCTTTCTTTACCACGTACAAAAATTGAAAAATATTTTCCTAAGGAAAAACTGAACTGTTAATTTTTAAAGAAATAAACATGGTGTCTTATAATGAAAAAATACATATTTTTTTTTTCAAATTTTGTAAAGTCAGTCTTCTAAGAGATTCTAAAATAAATTAACAATAATTTCCAAGACTAATATGTTTCCGCTAACCCAGAGTTAATCATGGAAATAGTCGTATTGCATGCATTTACATAGAACATCCGAAGAATATATATGGCTCTAAATTCGCTCTTGAGTACATCTTGACCTATGATTTTAACAAGAGGAATATAAAATAAATTATTTAAAAAAAATTGAAATCAGATATGTTTTATATTGAAAAGTATATTGCAAATATATAAAAAAGATAAAATAAGCAGATTTATTTATCATCTTACTTTTTATGCCCCCGCATCGAAAGATCCCGGGGGTATATTGTTTTTGTCCTGTCTGTCTGTTTGTCTGTTTGTCTGTTGCCAACTTTAACCTTGCCCATAACTTTTGATTGGTTGGAGCTATGACTTTCATATTTCACATGTGTATTCCTTGTGACAGGACCTTTCTTTGGGTACCATCATATTTGACCTTTTGACCTTGACCTTAGAGTTTGACCCACTTTTGCAAAATTTTATGAGACTTTAACCTTGGCCATAACTTCTGAACAGTTGGTGCTTGGGGTTTCAAACTTCACATGTGTATTTTTTGTGACAAGGCCTTCTTTTGGATACCAACAACTTTGACCTTTTGACCTTGACCTTGGAGTTTGACCTACTTTTGAAAAACTTTAACCTTGGCCATAACTTTTGAACAGTTGGTGCTTAGGGTTTCAAACTTCACATGTGTATTCCTTGTGACAAGACCTTCCTCTGGATATCAACCACTTTGACCCTTTGACCTTGACCTAGGAGTTTGACCTACTTTTGAAAAACTTTAACCTTGGTCATAACTTTTAAATGGTTGGAGCTAGGGGTTTCATACTTCACATATGTAATCCTTGCGACAAGACCTTCCTTTGGATACCAACCACTTTGAACTTTTGACTTTGACCTAGGAGTTTGACCTTCTTTTGAAAAAATTTAACCTTGGCCATAACTTTTGAATGGTTGGTGCTAGGGCTTTCATACTTCACATATGTAATCCTTGTGACAAGATCTTCCTTTGGATACCAACCACTTTGACCTTGACCTTGACGTTTGATTTTTATTTAAAAAACTTTAACCTTCGCCATAACTTTTGAACAGTTGTATCTAGGTCTTTCAAATTTCACAGGTGTATTCCTCGAGACAAGACCTTTCTTTGGGTATCAACATTTTTTATCTTTTGGCCTGGATTTTGACTTGCATTTGAAGAAACTTTAACCTTCGCCATAAGCTGCCATACGGGGGCATCAGTGTTTCACAAACACATCTTGTTTTTCTTGAAATGAATTTGATAATTCCACTAGAATAACACATGTGTAGGGGGACATTTTCAACCATGTCAAAATAAAAGTCAAATATACGGCGATAATACCTTGTACACAGAATATCTTCATTCACTAATGTTTAGGAAGGATAAAATTAACATACAAAAATATTTTAATGCACATTACGTCTAAAATAAAAGAAAAATTGGAATTTATTTCTTCTCATATTTTGAACGTAACGTCTGTCAGACTCAATACGCCGGGTACATTGTTATAAAATGGGCCATTGTTTATGCAAACTATTTTATCTTTCTTGTCTACTGATAGAAAATTTACCTGTTTATCAATTAAGTGATCGCAGATTCAACAGAAAAGCACGTGTGCTTAGAAATTAACAAATCTGTGGGATGCTTCCTGTGTGTCATGGCAAGTGGGCATTACGTTCTATTTTAAGAATGGAGCTCGGAGATGCTTCTTCTTATACATTTGACTTAGAGGTTATGGATATTTAAATATTCTCCAGTGTTCTATGCAACTGTGTTTACATTTCGATAAGAAGAGCTACAGAGAGAGCCCGAGAAGCCATGAACATTTGTCTGTCAAGTGTTACGTTACACAAAGTATGTTACGTTCATGAAAATATAAGTTGTCTTTATCCTAGATTTTAAACATATATCATCAAATATTGTCAGCTAGTAGGTGTATTTTGGATTTTTTTTTTTAGAATATGAACTTGCACGCTCTTCATCACTACATAAACACTTAAAATCTGACATTTCTTACATAACATACCGATTGACAGATATTGCCTGAATACTATCGTAACGATGACGGACAAAAAGAATGTCTTTTCATGTTACGTGAATCAAACGGGTGCATTCAGATTTATACGTTCAGTGAATTAAACCAAAAAGTATTTTTATTTAAGAATATTAGTGTATCATAAGGCAAAATTTGTCTTTATAAGTTAAACAATACAATTTTGTAGTTGTTTTCTTGCAGTTTTTAAAACGAGTCTGTCGGGGTTACGTGTATCCGTACATGTTACGAAATAGGTTTGATCTATATGAAATTATTTATTTTTTAAATTTCATTAGTATTTTCATAAATAATAATGTCTTGTGTATTATAATTTCCAAGAATAAGAGATAAGCTTTGAATGATAAATTTTATTGGCTCGTTTCAAACAGGTATTGCTCAACAAATATCGTAAGATGACAGACATGGTGGAAATTTTGGATGTTACAAAGCGTGTAGCAGAGATTTATTTTTTTTAATTCAAATTTAAAATCTATAAGGAATCAAAATTTGAATAATGCCCATTTCTTACGGCAACATTATCTTTTTGATAAAATAATGAAAGTTTATGGTTTATTTGGCTGGCTAAATAAAGGAGTCTGTCAGTGTTACGATCATCAGTTTGTGCATCAAAAGTAGCTTAAAAATCTTTTTTCTTCTACGTAAGAGTGAAATTTTTTTTTGCATTGTATAAGAAATTGTTTAATTTTATTTTTTACAGATATTTGTATTGCTAAGCATCAGAAATGCAATTTAATCATGTCACGATTTATCATACGTCTGTCATGTTACGTTATATGTCTGTCATGTGTTACGTGACACATATTTGAAACATTAATAAAATATCTATTTTTGACTTGATTATCTATTCAAACATTTTTTTGTCCTATTTAGAGTCAAAACTTCAAATACACATAAAGAAATTGAAGAAAAAAACGTGTCTACAGAATTCTTTATTTGTCCTCCCAGATGTACTCAAGAGCGAATTTAGAGCCATCTGTATGATGAAATATGGAGGCAACTAACAGAATTCAAGCTCAAAGTGTACCTAAAAAATACAAATCGGGGCAGAGCAAACACGGACCTACAATATCAGAGCCGAAATCAGACGCCATGGAGGAGGCAGTATCCAGTGCCGACCGGTCACACCGCCATGTACTCCTTGTCATGATTAGATAAATATCAAATTCTTTAACTTCGAATTTAAGTCATGAAATGTAAGAGGATTCCAGTTGAAATCGTGTTCTTCTTTTGGCTTTTATATTAAAACCACTACTGCATGTATACCAATGAAGGAGTATGATTTTTAAAAAAAACGAAATCATATACTCATTGTTGTAAACGTAATTTTTTTTCTAACCTACCTGAAGAAATCATGAAACAAATAAGAAGATTAATATTCTACTTTGTTTGGAATAATTATTTCGTTTTTTCTTATTTCAAAAAATTGTTATCTTTCTCTTTTTCATGAATCTAATTTCTTTTTTTTTGCCAAGTTTATCCTGTCATTTTTTTCCTAAATATATTTCCTTTGTTTTGTCCCATGTACATGTATATTCCTATTGCTTTTACTGTTTCTTTGGTTAACTTCATATAAATCACATCTGTGTCACTTTTAAATGTTTTACTAGCTATAGACGATAATACTTACAACTAAATTTTATGTCAAACGAGATTTCAGCTTTTCCATTGTAAACTTTCCAACTTAGCAACGTATATTCGATACTCAAGAACATGCTCCGAGCACTACCAATTTTAAACAAAGGCAGGATACTGGCAGATAAGTTGATGTTACGCGGATTTGAACAATCTCTTTGAAAGTCAACATTATGTAATTCTATGAACTCGTTAGCAAATATAAACTTTCACTGGGTCGATCTTTTTAGACTGATGTGTTTCATACCTATTGTTAGGCCTTTGAATAGGCGTTTGAAGTCTGCTCTAGATTCGCGGAGTAAGGAGTTGATCCTTACGTCGCGGGTTCGAATCCCACTGTGGGATGTGGAGACCGGTCCTTCGAATGAGACCGTGTAAACCGAGGTCCAGTGTTGCAGTAGGTGCTGGCACGAAAAAGATCCCTCACTGCTCAATGGCCCTGAGTGCTGAGTATAGGTAAAAAAAATTGCAGCTCTCCACCGGCAAGTGGTGGCGTCTCCATATGAGTGAAAAATTCTCGAGAGGGACGTTAAACAATAAACAAACAAACAAACAATAGTTATATCCATTCATAAGTAAACTCAATGAAATATATGGAGATAACGAACCGTATTCAAACTCAAAAGTCCATTTAACAATACAAAATAGGAGCAGAGCAAACACGGACCTCCAAAACATCAGAGGTGTGATCAGGTGTCATGGAGGAGTGAGCATCTCCTACACACCCGCCGTGTGCTCCTTGTCATGATCGGGAAATAACGGAAAAATTCGTCGACAATTCAGTGTATAAATAATGGCCTAACAATTAGTATGAAAAACGTCAGTCAGCATTTGACTCAATGATAAATTGTATTTACTGACAAGGTCATTGTATCGACCATAGAACTTACGAAATGATGACTTTAAACGAGACTGCTTATATTCTTGTTTCATCATCTTGTTTGTCAATAATTTACCCCGTTAAGAAATTGTACATAAGTAGAGCATGCTCTTGCTTATCGAATCAACTGAGAGATATAAACCCCGTATGCAGGTGATGAAGGTATACTGCTGCATAAGTAAGGGAAGTTGACGATTGAAAAGTTAAAGTCATCACGTTTATCTTAAGGCTTGGTTGTTAGATTACCATTAACGTCTTTTTCATGTAAAATATCCAAATATGAAACATATG